CAAAATAAACTGCAATCCTCATAAATGATGTACCACGAGTATCGCTGAGAGTTCAATGTTCAGTAAAAAATTTACATACAATAGAACGCACATATCTTAAATATACATTTGCTGAGTTTTGGCAAATGCACACACCCATGTAACTCTAACCCCTATCAACATACAGAAAATTACCATTACCCCAGAAAGTTCCCAGAAAGGATGTATTCTTTTGTGTCATCCTTTTACACAGCATGTTTCTGAGACACTGCCATACAGAATCATTAGTTTATTCCTTTTTACTGCTCGGTAGTATCGTATGAATACGTGACAAGTTTGTTTACTCTCATTCTTCTATCTTACACCTTGACTTCGCATTTTCTAAACACTACACGTAACCTTCCCAATGTCCCCCCAAAAGAAATACGTACCCACATGGGTGGGTACGTATTCTAAAGATGATGTGGAGAAGATGATGTGGAGAAGATAAAGTGGATGAAAGAAGAGGGAAGAAGAGAAATTGATGAGAAATTGAAATTCACTAGTTTCTTCTCTACACTTGCTATTTTGGCATCTGAGCGTTAGTTACAAATTCACAGCTGGTGACAGAGTCAGTCTTAATAGGCATGACCAGGTGGGCTCTTGATTACTTGTCCACGGACACCAAGTTGGAAATCTGTTTGTGTTTTGCTTCAGGTGTCCGTTGTGGAGACAGGGAAAACCTAGCTCCCACTATCAGGGAACCCTTCCCAGACACTCAGGCTATCAGAAGACTCCAGGGACAAGTCTTCTGCAGGTTGACTAATCTTCGTAATTGCTCTGTTTCATCTTTGTCTTAGTAATAATTTTCTTTGTAGTTTACTTCTGAAACTTTCCTGGTTCTCCCAATGTCCCACTAAATTTAAAATCAGATACAGAACCATATTAAGCATCTAGCCAAAGCTCACTTAAGTCAAAGCCTCATCAAGTTTTATTTCTACCAGAAGAGTATTCTGTTTTTATTGCACCACTGTAAAATCTAAAATCACTTAAGAAATATTTATCTATCAAATCTTTGTACTTTTTGTTTTTAAAATTTTTATTTATTTTTTTTAAAGATTTTATTTATTTGAGATAGTGAGAGCACGAGCCGGGAGACAGAGGGAGAGGGAGAAGGAGAAGCAGGCTCCCCACTGAGCAGGGAGCAGGATGCGGGGCTCGATCCCAGGACCACTGAGCCATTCAGGAGCCCCAAATCTTTGTACTTTTTAAATGAGAGTCCAAAACAGGACCAAATATGAGCACTCAGTAAATCTCTTGTCTATCAAAGATTAGACAATTTTATTTAATAGATCAAATAAAAAAAAGTAAAATTAGCAAAGCGAAATAAGAATTTTGGAAAAAAATTAACAAGCCATTAATTACTACTTATTTTTTCAAGTCATATATATTTGGTGTTCAAGATTATGAAAATATCAAAAAGTATGAAGAGAAACATAATAAACATCAGCATTCTAGCGCACACAGTTACTATCCTGGGTTGTTTCCTTCAATCTTTTTTCTACGTATATTAGATATAAAATAATTTTATTGAAATACTGTATGTTCAATTTTATATATTTTCTAACTTGACATTTTATCACAAATATTTTCCCTAACACACTAAAATATTTTAACAAATTTTAATAATACTATTGTATCCCATACTATTTATCCATTCCCCTATTACTGATCATTTAAGTGATATCCAGTCTTTTCTATTATAAGTAATATTGTGATGAACACTTTTATACATTAATCTCTGTCCCAATAAATTTTTTATTATTATGTATGGCAAATCCCTGGAAATGTAATTACCCAGCGTAGGAGCGTAAATATTTACTACATCTTGTCAAACTGCTTTCCAGAAATGCTGTACCTTATACTATGGAGCAGCGTATATAAGTTCATGTTTCATCACACCCTCCCCAGTACTGGCCATTGAGATTTTTTAAATGTTTGTGATATTTTATTTCCTTTGCAGTTGCTTATTTTTTAAGTTGACTTTTCTCATGTTTATGAGCTCCCTGCACTTCTTTAGTTCATGTCCTTTGCTAATCTGTCGTATCCTAATATTTTTCTTACCTATTAGAACTATTCTTTGACACATATTTGGTTTGAGTTCATGTGAAGCAAAAACAGCCTTCACTGAAAGATGGCTCGAAGATAAGGGGGCAATAGAGTGGAGGAAAGCAATGGGCGCGGAGATGGTTGGAAAAGGTTATTGTTAAGATTAAATTTGGAGGTGAGGTGGGTTAAGGGTGTTGTCAGGTTGGAGACTGAGATGTTAAGAGAAGGGGGAGGGCGCTTCGTCGATGGGTCACGATTTTCGGGAGGTTCAGCTTCCCGGGGGTTGTGTTTAGGAGCAGGAGGGGTTAGAATCGGGGTTAGTGCCGGGATGCTGGGGTGGGGGAGGGAGCGCTATAACTCGGGAAGGAAGTGGGTCGGGGTAGGCTGCCAGGATTAGGGGGCACCCCAGATCTCGCCCGCCGCCACAGCCCAAGCAACCTCGTGGTGCCCAGGCCCCCGGCTGGACAGCCAGACGATACCTGTAGCTTCAATTCCTGACTGCGGCGCTGCAGGGCCTGCAAAGGATTGCGCGGCCGCCTAGCCAGCATCTCCCTCGCCTCGGCGCTGAGCGCGCACCGGTCGCCAGGGAAACCACGGCGGCGGCGTGGGAAGGTGACGTAATCACTGCGCGTCCGCCTCGCGGGCGAATGGAAGAAAAGCGTGGAGGTCGTTGTGTGCTGTGGTAACCTCCGCGCCACTCCGCAGGTGCTGGGCTCTCAGATTAGGCCCGCTGCCCAGGTAGTCCTATTTTACTGGCCAGGGTTGGGGTGGAGGTGGGAGAGAATGCCCAACGGCGCTGGAAACTACATGTCCCACGGTACCTCAGTATTACCACGCCGTGACTGTCGGGGTTCTCGGTGTTAACGGCATTTGTTTTCTGATGCCAGTTTTGCTAAAGTAATCTTAAGGTACAATTTAAGCATCTTAAACTCTTAAATTAACTGCAAGGATAGCTTTCCTATGTGGCCTGCATGGGATACATGATTTTGTCGCATATTCTCACATCAAAGGACAATTTTTAATTCTTTGCCGTTTGGGGTATTGCTGGTTCCATTTCATTTTAGTTTTGCATGTTGTCACGTAGTCCATCCTGAGTTCTGTGAGGACGGTGATTTTGTCTGCTCAAGTGTCTGAGCAAATAATTATGATCTCCATTTTGTATCTTAGGGAAATTGTAGTAACATTTTCTCAGGTGGTACTGAATCCTCTAAGTCCAATTTCCAAACTTTGCACGGACACCCAATAAGAATGATGATGATACGAGCTCAATTTTCAAATGTTGAACTACATAATATAAATGAATGCGCTTCAGTACAACAAACAGGTTGATTCCACAGGCCCAACTACTATGTTACTTATTTGTGTACTTTTTTCTTCAAATATACATAGAGAAGAATGACAAACAGGTGTCCACCTCATTGAATTTTCACACTGAACACACCCTCATGTCACATCACCCAGATTGGGATACAGAACATTACCAGCACCCTAAGTAGTCTTCCTTTTCTAATCCCTACCCACCCTCCTATGCCAAAAGTAAACACTGTCCAACTTCTAACAACAAAAACTTGATTTGCCTCTTAAAACTGTACAACAGAATCATGCAGTGTGTCCTGGCATCTTTTTGGGCTTTTTTCAGTCAACATGTTTGTGAGATGCATCTATATCATGGTATGTAGTTGTAGTTTGTTCAGTTCTCGTTGCTCTCTGGTATTTCATTGTGTGATACACTCTTAATATACGTATTTGAGCTCTGTGTCATTGGACTCCCTGCTCAGTGGGCAGTCTGCTTCTCCTTCTGCCCCTTACCCCACTCGTGCTCTCTCTCTCAAATAAATAAATGAAATCTTTTTTTTTTTTTTAAAGATTTTATTTATTTGGCAGAGTGAGAGACAACGAGAGAGGAAACAAGCAGGGGGAGCGGGAGAGGGAGAAGCAGGCTCCCCGCTGAGCAGGGAGCCCAATGAAGGCGGGGGGGGGGGGCTCCATCCCAGGACCCTGGGATCGTGACCTGAGCCGAAGGCAGACGCCCAATGACTGAGCCACCCAGGTGCCCCTCAATAAAATCTTTTAAAAAATTGACTCAAATAGCCATAGTATTTTCCTTTTTTTTTTTTTTTTTTAAAGATTTTATTTATTTATTTGACAGACAGCACAAGTAGGCAGAGTGGCAGGCAGCGGGAGAGGGAGAAGCAGGCTCTCTGCTGAGCAGGGAGCCGGACATGGGGCTCGATCCCAGGACCCCAGGATCATGACCTGAGCCGAAGGCAGCCGCTTAACTGATTGAGCCACACAGGCGCCCCCAGACATAGTATTTTCATTAAAAAGGTTTGTAACAGGGACACCTGGGTGGCTTAGTTGGCTCAGGTCATGATCTCTGGGTCCTGAGATATGCCCCACAGTTGGGCTCCATGCCCAGCAGGGAGTTGTCTTCTCCCACTCCCTTCGCCTCTCCCCCTGCTCGTACACTCACTCTAATAGATAAATACAATTTTTATTTTTTATTTTTCTTAGAGAATTTTTTTTTTTTTAATTTATTTGACAGAGAGAGACACAGCCAGAGAGGGAACACAAGCAGGAGGAGTGGGAGAGGGAGAAGCAGGCTTCCCGCTGGGCAGGGAGCCCAATGTGGGGCTCGATCCTAGGACCCTGAGATCATGACCTGAGCCAAAGGTAGATGCTTAATGATTGAGCCACCCAGGTGCCCCGATAAATACAATTTTTAAAAGGGGTTTGGGGCACCTGGGTGGCTCAGATGGTTAAGCGTCTGCCTTCGGCTCAGGTCATGATCCCAGAGTCCTGGGATCGAGCCCCACATCAGGCTTCCTGTTTCTCGGGAACCTGCTTCTCCCTCTGCCTCTCTCTCTCTGTCTCTCATGAATAAATAAATAAAATCTTTAAAAAAAATAAAAAATAAAAAGGGGTTTGTAACAGGGCTCACTTGGGCAGCACATACACTAAAATTGGACTGATACAGAGAAAATTAGCATGGCCCCTGTGCAAGGGTGACATGCAATTTGTGAAGCATTCTATATTTAAAAAAAAAAAGTCTGTAACAACAAATGAAAAAGGATTGCTGTAAGATATTTTTAAATGGATTAATCAGTACTTCTAAGTGATATTCTAAGAGGTAAGCAAAATCCATCATTTCTATTTATTTTAAATATATATCTGTAAGTAAATTGGAAAAAATATTCTGTATCTGATTTATAAGGACTTCAATATTTTAAATGGAAAAGTTACAGGGTCGTGAATATAGTATAATTCTGTGTTGGTAAAAATAAACAAATAAAACCCCTACATGTGTGTATGAGCAATGGGGAAGGATGCAAAAAAGCTTCCTACTCTTGTTCACCTCAAGTGGAAAGATGACTTTAATTTTACACATTATGAACCATTTATTCCTTTGAGGAGCTTGTTAGAAATGCATATTCTCAGGCCCTACCACAGACCTACAGCATCAGAACCTATATTTTAATAATACCCCAGTGTTTCATATACATATTTAAGGCTGAGACATACTATTTAAGTATTCAGTGTGCTATAAGGGATGAGATTACTCCACTAACAGCCTTTTTCATTAATTTATATTTCTTTTGATTTGTAATGCTCAGCAGTCACCTTAACAGTAGTCATTGCTTCTTTTTTGTTATCCCTTGATGCCATTGTGAAAATCAAAGTGATGTGGGAAACAAAGGCAAAAGAAAAATTCAATTTCCTTACTACTTACAGCCCACTGTCAAGTCTTTGAAACAGGCAAAGTGACCTAGGAACTCAGCTGCCTCAATGTTAATACTTTGTTAAGGGCAAAAGACAATCATAGCCCAACCCCCAGGATCCTGTAAGTCTACTTTAACATATAAAAATCCTTTGGAAACTTCCTTTATCGCTACCTTGCAAGATACGTGTTGGCAGTCATCCCCTAAGCATATGACCCACTGATACACATCTGAAGGGTCTCATTACTGAGTTTTTACTAAACAGTAATAAATGACCTTTTCCTAACAATAGCTAGCTCCCTCAAGGTCCTGGAAACCGTTTCCAAAATTCCTTAGAGACTTACGCTCTAACACCTTCCCAGCTTGAAAGTACATAATCGCAACTCCTCATGACCCCAGTGCCGCTCTTTCTGCCCACAGGTCCTGTCCCCGTTTTTAATAAAACCAACTTTTTGCACCGAAGACGTCTCAGTAATTCTTTCTTGGCCATCAGCTCCGAACCCTAACACCTTTCCTACATCAAAAGTAACCTAGAACAAAGTTTTGCAGTGAGGTAGCTGAAACCAAGCAAAACATGGTGACTATTTCTCCTGAGAACAAGCTATTTTGTAAAACTCATGATTTTCTTCCATCAGTGTGTTAAAATGAATTATCAACTTTGTATTGCTACCTTACAGGAGACACTGGAAAAGAATTTAATGGTTTTTGAGAGACTCATTATGTAGAACTGGTGGAACCAAGTAGTTAGGAACCTACTAAGAAGAAATTACACAAAGAGAACAGAGAAAGTTGGCTATTTCAGGATCTTAAAACAGTTCACCTCAGAAGTGTCAGATATTTATGAGCACCTTGGTGGAAAGCAGTGGCTGGACCTGTGGTACAAGATGTTTAAGGCACTGGGCTCAAAGAGCTCATGAGCTAGGGTGATGGACTAGAATCATGAAGCCTTACCACCCACCAAAGATTGTCATAGAAGGGTCACCCGCAGAACTTCCCGCCAACTACACATTGCATTTGAGTTCTTGAGTAAGATTATCCGATGAAAGCACCAGGCAGTTGAAGTGTGAAGCTGGAAATAAAAGGATAAAGTGGGGTAGGAATCTTAGAGGGGTTCTGCCTGGATATGGTAGGTAAGCCTGGGCACTGGTTGGGTAATCCAAAGGGAAGGACAGAGGACCAAGGATTGAAGTTGAAAGAACTTAGAAAAGGAAGCAGTAGTAAAAGTTTGGAAATGTGGGAAAGTTTTAAATTATCAGGGAAGTGTGCGAAGAATTTCAAGGGAGATACTGGCATTATCCAATACTCTGGAGGTGAAAACTAAGGATTCAGAAATGGCCATTAGATGACAAAGGCTCCGGGGGAGGGGGTGCAGAGGGCAGAGTGCAACAGGTTAATGGGCAAAATATTTAGGAAGAAAGTGATAGTGGACCACTTTTTCTAATTAGCAAATGATGGGGTCAACTGAAGATTTTTTTGAAGTCAAAATCTGCATGTTTGTCCATAGAGGGAAAGCAGGGAGAGACTGCAGATGCTAGACAAAAATGGTGTAGTAGAGAACAAGGAAGGTCCTTGGCATGGGGAGGGGAGGGGAGGTGGGATGCAGAATTCATCTTCTCTTCTGAGAAAGAAAAGCTAATGAGATAAAGCCTCAGAACCAGCGGTTTTCAGCCTCTGCTGGGCATCACAATCACCAGCGGAACTTTAAAAATCCTAATGCCCAGGCACACCGCAAACTACATAAATCCAAATCTGTGGGGAGTAGCACACAGGGATCAGTATTTTTTTTTTTTTAAGATTTTATTTATTTGACAGAGAGAGTGAGAGAGCACAAGCAGGGGTAACAGTAGAGGGAGAGGGAGAAGCAGGCTCCCCACCAAGCAGGGAGCCCGATGTGGGGCTCAATCCCAGGACCCTGAGATCATGACCTGAGCCGAAGGCAGACACTTAACCATCTGAGCCACCCAGGCGCCCCAGGATCAGTATTTTTAAAGCTCTCTAGATGATTATATTGTGCAGCCCTGTTCAAAACCTTTGCCCTCAATGGAGCTACTGAGAGGAAGAATAATGAGGGAATTCCCACTTAATGGCTTTTATCTTCTCATATGGTTGAGAAGCACACTACAGCCCAAGAACCAACATTTTAGTCCTTGCATTCACAGAAGGAAAACAAGTATTGAAAGTAATAAAGCATAATGGCCCCAGTAAAATGGGGAAAAAAAGGCTTTGTGTGGAAACAACTTTTCAAAGATTTATCTATTTGACAGAGAGAGAGAGAGAGCGAGCACGCACACCCACGCACAAGCAGGAGGAGCAGCAGGGAGAGGGAGAAGCAGGCTCCCTGCGGAGCCCGATGCAGGGCTTAATCCCAGGACCCTGAACCACAACCCAAGCCAAGGCACTTAACTGACTGAGCCACCCAGGCACCCCAACTATTCTAACTTTTATGTTAATATGGAGCTGCTGTTAAATGTGCTGAGACACAAAATTAATCCTTATGAGCAAGGACAGTGTTATAGAAAACACCTCCTGCAAATCAAAAATAACCAAGGACTTAGTCACTTACTCTTGATTTTTAGATAACAGTTGGAATTTATCACTACGCTTTAGTCAAGAGAGTTAGGGTTAGGGTTTTCCTTTAATATATATTCTATAATGACATATAAATGAAATTTTTGCCAGTAATAATTGGAGTATGTTATCACTCTGTACTTGGGGCATATACATCACCCTTAACTCAGTTATTTTTACACAGCCCCTTGCTTTCTTGAACAGATCCAGTAACAGTTGGCCAAAGGATTCATATGATCACTAGGCCAACTCTGCTTCGCAGTTGTACCAAGGAACTGGCATAGATTCCTTAAGAAAGAAGGTAACTGCTCAAAAACACTAATAGATCAGTTTTGAGAATCCAGATCTTTTGATGAAGTAAACTGCTTGGCAGGCAAGATACTCCTTTCCTTTTGATAGAAGATTCAAAGATGTTTAAAATTTTTTTATTTTAAAAATAAAATTGACTCATAAAGTGCAAGGAGAAATTAGATCTGTCCAGGGCTCTATCTCCATCTTCGACAAACTGTTGGAAACAGAAAAGAGAAAAACAATCAGAAATACATAATCGTTAACTTCCAAATTATTCTGTGGAGTTAAACTATGAACTATAAGATTTGATGTTACAGATAATTCAATTTGCACAGCTCTGATGATAAAGCTACCACTAGATACAAGGCTCCTAACTTCCAGGCCACTGCTCTTTCCACTTTACCAGGCTGCCAACAACCAAAAAATTCAGTTTGGAGATTAAAGAACATGAATGCAAAGATGTACTATGGTCTACCACGGATATTATCGAAAAGAATAAGGGGGTAGGAGGTGGCAGGAATATCTCCACGGTCCCTTTTCTTTCTTCCTTTCCTTCTTTCCAGTATTTTCCTTTTTGAAGTTTAATGTCAAGGTGCAACAATGTTGCACGTGGTAAGGCATTCCCCCTAAAGGCACACAATGAACTGAACTAGGACACCATACTGCAAGTTACTGGAGAAAAAACCTCCTCAGAATCCTGGTGTCTTTGGGAGAAAGTCACCTCCTATGAAACATCCACAGGCGCTCCTGCCCCAAAATATTCACCCGCCCCCAACGTCTCCCCTTAGTCTCCGCCCCGTAAGTACTGCTCACCGACTCCAAAAAGAGCAAGGCGCGGCAGGCGGAGAGTGTGAAGCTAGCGTGGCTCACGCCGGCGCCGGGCCGCAGCCCCCGCGTGGGCGAGGCGAGGCGAGGTGGGCGCGCGGGGGCCGGCGGGGGCCGGCGGGGGCCGACAGCGCGGGGTCTCAGGCCAGGTCCAGCTTCTTCTGAGTCGTCGCCAGCTTGTCCTGCAGCCTCCGCTTCCTCCAGTCCAGGTAGCGCCTCCGCATCCGGTTCGCCTGCCAGCCCACCAGCACTCCGGACGCGAAGGCCACCAGCACAGACAGCTGCAGCGTCCGCTCGGACACGTCCGCCATGGTAGCCGGCGGCGTGCAGGCCGACCTACGGCGCGGCGGTGGGGTCAAAAGGCGCCCAGCGTTCCCGGGCGGAGCGCGCGGCGGCGCGTGCGCAGCGCGACCTGCGGCGCGTCCACTCTAAAAACAGCTTCGCCTGGCTCGTCTGCTCAAGTCTGGCCGGCTTGTGGGTGGCCCCGGCTTTCTCTCCTCTCAGCCGCCACAGTGATTATTGTTTGGCGTTAGATATTGTCTTGCCTTATTAGCTAACTTTGATGGTGTGCCTTTCCAACCTCATTGTAAGCTCAACACCTCTTTGTATTTTCTCTCAGCGAGCCGCATATGTAAC